TAGTCCCACTGTATGTACTGTTTACTTTCCTTTGAGTTCTACAGGGGCTTACAGCTGAGAGTTTGCTAAAGTCTCAGAAGGGACTTTGCGTTTGGAGTTTTCAGCAATACGGAAACTATTATGACTTTGGAAACTCTTAAAAATAAACTAGATTTACGTTACTTACAAGGATGCACATGAGTTTTGGGGGGGCTAAGGTGGAATTTTATGGATTATATCTAGATATCCCTCCAAATCCTCATGCATTCATTGGTGGGGGGTTGGGGAGGGGTGATTGGATCATGGGGATGTAATAATCAGTGGATTAGTCCAGCTTACTTGCTATAAGGAGGTGGGATGTGGTCAGAAGAGGTGGGTAACTGGGGGTGTGGCCTGTAAGGGTTTGTTTCTTCCCCATTCCTTCCTTCATTCACTCTCTGCTCTCTGCCATGCCATGAGTGAGCAACTCTCCCAAACCATAAGCTTCTGCCACATGGTCCTGCCTTGGAGCAAGCTGACAGTGAACTGAAACCTCGTTGGATAATGTAACTAATTTTAAACTGTGAATTTTATAATAATAACATATTTTATTAATATATTACTAATTATTAATACATTATTATTATTATTCAGGATTGGCATGCATCTTTTCCCTTTCATAACAGTTTTCCATGATTAGCTGCATATTCCTGATAGTCATGGATTTGAGATTGCATCTTATAGTGGCATTCATTATAACAGGCATACTGATAGATCCAGGGATCACTTTTGACAGCTCCTTAATTTTATTGACGTATCCGCAAATCTTGCACAAGATCCCAAACGCTGACCAAAACTCAGGAAAATTTCTGAAATGTCACAGTGTTCTTTCTGATAATGATAGTTTTCCAAGGTTTCCAGTGAGCATGGGTCTTAAAATCTGTTCCTCTACTTAACTGCATCTTGAGTTAGACCTTCTCAATCTGTTTTTATGTTACTAACCCCAAGATATAGATCTATTGGTAATGAAGTTCCTTCTAAAAATCAAAACAGAGATTGTGAAACAGTGTCATTTTAAGTGGCCTGGTCTAGATGGATCTTTATAGACTTTTCTGCCCCTCCTACCATGTCTAGTTATATCCAGCAGATGTATTAAAGTTACAGTAGTTCTCCTATGTTAAAAAGAAAAAGCCTCCTTGGGAGTATTAGGCATTATTCTAAACCTTTGATTTCTGCTATTTAGATTTATTTCAAAAGGAGTGATTCTCCAAATCTCTTCTTTGGTCAAAATGGACCTATAAACTGGGAAGAAATTTAGCCTCAAGACTAGTACATGGAGAAGTTTGACATCTGTGCATGCTTAAGGAAAGAATCACCAATCTGGTGTGCAGATACTGCTATTGACTTTAATATTTGTGCAATTACCAAATTTATGCTTTTGGGTGGTAGACTGAGTTTCTTAAATCAAGGATCCTTATGGAACAATATGTCTAGAGTGTTATCTAAATGGTTGTGCTTTGACCCAGAGAATACTGTTCTTTATCAAATTCTCAACACATGAGAAAAGAACAATTATCTCCTACTCCTCTTCAACTATTTTCCTTCCTTCTTGGGCTGTACCAAAATCTCCAGCCAAAGTATGGTACCCTCAGCTCCTATTTTTTTTCATATTTGGTATCATTTTGGCCAAGGACTAGAGGAGATTCTATAGAGTCTCCCATATGTGCTAGCACAGAGGATCTCTGTGAGGAAGGTGAAGGTGTAGTGGGACAACACATCAGAGGTGGAATGGAGTTTATGCAACCAGTCAAAACTACTGATAGAGCTCACTCAGTGACAGTAACTACCATCTCTCTGAATCCCATGGTATCTCAGAGACTCCAGGCTCAACACAATGTACTTTCAGTGTATATTCCTACTGCAAGTATCTAGAATTCATTAGACCTTGAAAAGGAGCTTGAGCTTGGTAGAGCTCATAGAATAGTGAAAATGATTATTATTTGAGATTCACCTGCAAGCATAATTGGCGTATATGGTAGACAGATTTCTAAAATGGTCCCCAATTCCTACCCTCCAATGTTACAGCCTCAATACACCTTCTTCTCCCAATTATGAGCGAGATTTGTAATCTGTAGAAATGCCATTCCTAAAAAATGAAGGAATCTTGGAGATACAATTAAGGTTCCAAGTGAGTTAACTTTGGTTTAATAAAAGGGAGATTATCCCAAGTGAGCCAGACTTAATCAAGACCCACACAGAAGAAAGAGCTGCTCTCCTACTTGTTTTGAAACAAGCAAACAACTATGTTGGGAACTTTGTTTGGAGAGCAGTCACTCCCAGGAGCTGATGGCTTTAGTCCTTCAACCACTAGACAACAAATATATAAAATGCTCGTAATTCAAATTCTGTCAACAATCCAAATGATATTAGTAGAATATGTTCAATTCCAGATGAGAATACACCCCAGCCACAACCTTGAGTGTACCTTTATGAGACTGAGCAGAGAGCCCAACTAATCTATGCCTCTGAGACAATAATTAGGAGACAATAAATATGTACTGTTTAAGCAGCTATATTTGTGGTGCTTTTTAGGAACAATAGAAGAATAAAAAATTCTACATCTTTTTCAGTTGCTTTGTATACATTTTCCTAAGATTTCACCAATCCCACGAGAAATATCTAATTGGAATTTTATAACTTATGTTGAATGATTTGAACCATTTGCTTCTTGTCTCCATCTGATCAGTCTTGAAGTTCACACCAATTTTCCAATGACCACCAGTTGTCCCTCTTTTCCCCTTTACATTAAAAAGGAAATCCTCCAAGGCTTTCTCAGTTTGTCAGCATGTACATTCAATTCTGTCTGTACTGCTAAGTAGAAGGTTGATAACATTAAATGCATGCCAGAGAAAAGAGTAAAAGTGGGAGATGTCCTTATCCATTCATCCTCATAAAAAAGAATTATAAACTCCCAATGCCAACTGTTTTAAGATAATGGGGAATAGTAAGCCTATTATTATTTATAGACTTTACTGAAAAAGAAATCTAAACTGAGATACTGTCTGTTTTTTTTCTTATTTTTAAAAAAACATTTCATTTTTTTATAATGCTTTTTTTTCCCTTTCTTTCTTTTTCTTTTTGTACCAGGGATCAAACTCAGGATCTTGTGTTTGCAGGGCAGCAGTGGTGCCACTGGAGCTAAATCTCTGGCCCTACTTTCTCTACTTTCTATTTGAAGTTAACTGTAAAAGTAGGGAGTATCCTGGAGAGTATCCATGCCTCTCAACTTTTTCAAGGTTGGTTGGCTAAGCCTGATCTTTCATGAGTTCTTGCCAAAACTCATTTTGATATTTTCGTCTTTAATCTCAACCAAAGTAACTTACAAAATTTTTCTAAACTTACCTTAAATTTAGAAGACCTTTTATATTCTCTCTGTCTGGGATCAAGATATTAGGATATACTTCCTTGATTTTTTCTACAGTGAAGGCCTTTTCTAGAGCAACAGTATTTCTTATCTAGGAGTTGTCTTCTTTAAAGTGTATGCTGATGTATTAGGCAGTGGAGAGGTCAATGCTTGTCTGCACTTAAAGTTACTGAGACATTCTGTTATTGTACCATTACTCTGGTGGTTCAATATTATTCTTTCCTTATCATTTGCTCTGTTCTTTTTCCCAAACCATCTATTTGTGTATCATCTGATATCATATTCTATTACTTTCTCAAAGCCAGATTTCTTGTTGGGATCTCTTGTTGATATTGTTCTACCAGTGCTACTATGTTGTTCCTGGATCTTTACTCTTTCACAGGGAGAAATCCACTATTATTTAAAATTCTCTAATGAATATTTATTACTCATCATGACTTTTCCTGCATAATATCTCCTGTAAAAATTAATTGAGAGATTTTGAATAAACTTTCAAAATAAAAACACCATTCTATTATAAAAGCTTATATTTTCCCAAAGGCTCTTCTGTGATCACATTTGTTTTTGTATTTTTTCCATTCTCAATTAAAGAATATTGCTGAGACCATAAATATTTGCACTTAATTTTCTCTCACTCCATATCTCTCCATAGTCTACAAATAGTAAAGGTGACATGGTGACATAATGCTAACTCATTCCTGTAGTGTATTTCATTGGGAGAATATTTAATGAAACAACTGTCCAAATACAGTAATCCCAAACCTTAACCTTCATACATGTAACTGTATCATCATGTTCTGCCATGTCTAAAAAGGATATAAGTCTGATTTATTATCAGAAAAGGGGGAAGAACTGTAGCTAAATGCTTTAAATGTCAAAAGGTTGCAGCAATATATTTATTTACTAAGCCCATTAAATTATTTTTTAACCTGAACAGACACTCTGAATTCCTTCCTGCTCCATTGCTATTCTATCTTTCTCTTCTCTGCTTCCAACCCCCACCAGTCCTTGAGGTTTCAATTGTATCCTACTATCAACCCATGTGCTCAAGCCAGGAGGTTTTGTTCATTCCATTTGACCAAGATAAACTCAAATATTTTCATTCTGGTTCAACATAGAATATAAACTTTTCAAACTTGTTTTGCTAATCAAAACATACCTTTAAAACACAATGTGCTATGTAGTATATACCTTGAAATACAATGAATTACATAGTATGTAATATCATATATAACAGGTTTCACAAAATACTATATTTATGACCTTTACTCTAAAGATACGGATGGGAGGGATTAAGTGACTGAAATGGATAAAACACCATTCCCCCTAAAACACCTGTTTTGTTTTTTCACTTAAGTAGAAAAACTCAGAAACGGTGTTGACTAAAACAATAGAAAGAAGAAATAGCCAACAGAACAAACCTGTTTATAGGTACAGAGAACACATTCCTGGAGAATTCAACTATAGGAGGAATCCAGATAGCACCTGTAAGAAGCATCCACCCCAATCACACACCAGACCATAGCAAATAATGGTTAAAACACATTCAAACACAACCTAAAGTTTGAAAAGAGACTTATAAAGAAGTTGTCACCACAGGTAATATCTTTGAATCTCACACAGGCAATTCTCAGATGGGTTGTGTGTCATGAAATCTGGACTACGGCTGTCAACCCCAGCTAGGACACAATCTGGGAGCACACAAGAAGAGTGTGGAGAAAAATGGAAGATGTAAGTGGTCCCTGGAGCAATAACTAACTAACTATCATTGGCATCCACTTTGCTTTTGTTTGAAAAGTTTCCTTGTTTATTTCGTTACTTTTGTATAGTGAAAATACATATTCCATCTAGAAGATACTGCATTTATTAAAATGGAGAACCACACATACCCCTTGAATTTAATGTGAAACATGAAAGTACCTATAGGCATATCTGAAAGTCTATGTAAAATATTTGGAAAAAATACTGAATTCACTACATATATAGACATTGCCAGGAAATATTAAGAAGTATCATTTGAAAACTTTAAACCAAGGCAAAACAATTTATCGATTCAAAGTCAAAAAGGACTTATGAGGGAATGCTAGCAAATGTAGTTTATAGATGAAAAAACTGAATCCAAAAAGATTGTTTTGCCAAGAAAATATCATATAAAGGTTGCAGAATCAAGAAGAGGATATGTTCATTTGCCATCTTGCCACCCACCACTTTCTACAATTTCATATACTCTCAGTAGTTCAAGATCTAACAAACAGTTGACTCACTTTTCAACAAGTAGCTGTTGTATTTATTGCAGTGTGGGAATGGCACTTGCAAAGACATTATAGGAAAGAATGAACAATCCTGAATATAAAGTGGAACAGCTGCAGTTTAGCAATACTTTTCAAACACAGCAATCCTTAGGTTAGTATTATTTGTTCAATCTTCAAATCAATCATGCTGCAGAAATACATATGAAAGTTTTTTGTGTATCAAGCACAGAGTATAAAGATGTAAAAAATCCTAGAGTCTTCTGTCAGTGAGAAGCTTCATGTATTTTGTATCTTTTAGTCCTGTAAGTATACATATATAAAGATTTCAATGAGGAACAAAGCATTTTTTTCTTTAACTTATGTAAAATATTTTCCATTAAACTTAGCTGTCAATTAAGTTTGCAGTAAACCTATATCTAAAGAGTCTCAATGTAGGGGGAATCTGTACCCTTTGTTTATTAGTTATAATCTTTCAAATTTGTCAACATGAGAGCATCCCTAGATTCAATCTCAGATAGTTCTCTCTTATCTACATTCATTTCTTAGTGAGTTCATCCAGTCTCATGGTTTTTAATACCATCAATATGATGTCAGTTTTCTAATATATAATCCCTGCTAGAAGTTTCTTTTCAGTTCCACATTTGTATACAGTACCAACTGCCTATGTGATGTCTCCATTTAAATGTTTTAAAAGAGAAGAAATCTCAAATTTTACATGCCAAACTATGACTGACCCTGACAGGCTCTGTTATTATTTCATGTGTCCTTATCTCAGTAAATAACAATTATATTCCTCCATTTGCTCAAATTAAAACCTTGGAGTCATTTTTTTACACTTTCCTTTCTTGTATATCTCACAAATGCTCCAGAAATTTTGGCTCTATTTTAAAACCATAAGCACAGTTTCCATCATTTGTCATCACCTCTAATACTATTAGCTTGGTTCAGGTCATCACTAGCTCCTGACTGGGTGACCACTCTAATCTTATACTTGGTCTCGGCATGTACCCTAGCCTTCCTGCAATTACTTCTCCAGGACATCAGCTGAGAAGATCATTCTACTCCTCTACTCAAATCCATACTAAAGCACCTCATCCTACTCAAATGAAAAACCAAAGTTCTTATAATCACTCATATAGATCTACATTTCACATTTGCTGCTTCTCTCTTGATATCTTTTCTGATGTCATCTTTTGCTCCTACCTATTTCCCTTTATCACTTTGGCTGAAGCACCTCTGTATTATTTACTTTCCTATCACTGGTACAAAATAACTGATATCTACACATTAAACGAGGAGAGTTTTATTATGCCTCATAGTTTGCAGAGGATTCGATTGTGGTTGGCAGCTTTCAAAGGATTCAGTCGGTGTTGGTTGGCTCCAATGCAAAAATGGCACGATTGAGGGGATGGTAGAGGACAGTTGTTTATCCTATAGGAGCCAGGAAGGAGAGAGAGAGAGAGAGAGAGAGAGAGAGAGAGAGAGAGAGAGACCAGGGACAAGAATGTACTTGTACTCTTCCAGGTCACACTCCTATTACCCACCCCCAGCTAGGCCCCACCTTCTGAAATCTCATGAATGGATGACTCCAATGATGAGTATAGCATCCCAAGCACCTTCCAAACTCACAAGACTTTGTGGGACACTTTAAATCTAAATCATAATAAAGTCCTCAGCTCCTTTGCACCTGCAGTTCTTTCTGCCTAAAGGGCTATTACTACAGATATCAGCGTGATTCATTCACTTCCTTTAGGCCTTCACTCGAGTGAAAAAACTGGCCACGGGATCTAAATTTGCAACCTCTCTACCAATACACACACATCCCCTCACAATATCACTATTTCCTATTTTTTTTTCTTAATACATAGTTCATGTATTCTTTTTTTGTCTGACTCCCAAACTAAATGCTGCAGTTCACTGAACTATAGCCCCCAGACCAAATCCAGCTCTGCACTTGTTTTTGTAAGTGAGGTTTTATTGGAACACAGTTTGACATGTTTGTTTATGTGTTGCTATTACCACTTTCATATAACCCCAAAGGTCAAAATCATTTACTATCTAATCATTTGCACCTCACTTCTAATCATTTGCAACCTCACTAACCTCTGTAAAACTATAAACTTCCAAGAACAGGAGTTCTTACTTTATTTTCTTTCTTTGTGTCTAGATTCACAGAGTCATGCCTGACACACATTAAGTATCCAATAAGAATTTATTGATCAGTGAATGAATGCATGCATGGAGAATAACTGATCTACACTCTAAGGAAACTGGTAAGAGTATGAAGTTGAATTAAACTTTATATAGGGAGGAATCCACATTAGACATTTAATAGAAGTTTTTGATGAAGTTCTTTTTATTGTTTTTCAACTAAAAAAGGGATACCTATCATTCATTCTAAGTAACGGTGGTAATTTTGTACTGTTGATTTTAAGTGAAATATAAAACTAGCAGTGTAGGTATTGTTATAATGTCAGTTATATTGCTACAGAATCATACCTATAATAGGGCCATTAAAGAAGTCCTCTGAGTGTAGTTATGCAGGACTAAAATTGCCTTAAGGTTCCAATTGAAATCACCTGTGTGACCTTTTCAGGCCCGTTTGCATCTGGTTATCCTCCAAGTGAAAGATAATAGCTAATCCATTTTGAATGCAAAATTGTAGTGGGTATTGTTCATTTGAGTCCAGCAGAAAATGCACCATCCACTCTGGCTTTCAAATTTTAGGCAACAAAATAACCAATTGCTCCCACTGAAAAGTTAAGACTGAGGGTGCTTTATGTGATCTCTGGTGGCACTAGAGGTTTCAGTAATAAAAACAAAACCAGAGCCTCCTTCCTTCCTGCATAACCATTCACAGAAGCACTGGCAACTAAATCTCTTCTCTTTACAGGGAGGAATGGAGACTCCATGGAGCAGAAATGTTCTCCTCTTTATACATGACACTTCAATACTCCATTAAATACATGGGTTTCTGTGTTAGACTGATTGATGGTAAAGATGACAAAAGCTTGAGCAGTCTGTTAGCTTGAGCTGAAAAATGTGTAGCACTAACTGCCTTAAACAGTTAAAAATATAACTCTCTAGCTGTAGTAAAGGCTGTCAAGCTAAGATTTGGGATTAATTGTTCACTGTCTAACATGATTTGTGAATGACTATAGGACCATACCGATTAAATTGTACTTTCCACAAAACAGGCAGCACATGCCTCCTACCTTGGAGAGACCCACAATTTTGCAGAGTAGCAAACATCTGTAATCCATTTGGATGCACAGGTGACAACTCTTTTTGAGTGTTCAGGACCCTGGGACTTCTGGGATATGTGCTATGTCATAAACTTAAATGATGAAAAACCAGCGGGACTCCTTCAACCTTTAATTGGAACCACTCAACGTGGCAAAGAAACTGAGCAACTCTTTTTTATTTCATTTAATATTTTCTCTTACATTCACAAATCATTTATCAGTATCATCTGAAAATGAAAAATGATAAGTGAAGTGGTATTTGGCACAATACATCCAGTTTGTTATCCAGGGGATGGTGTGTATGTGCAAAAGTTCTAGCAATGAAGTCATACCCTGGAGAGGAAGCAAAAGGGGACTTTCTCTTCAGTTCTGGCTGAATTCCCAGGTTTCAACCAATGTGAGTCTACCGGAATCAGTGATAATGTTTTCTGTCATGGCTATAAAATACTTTCAGAGAAACATAAAGTTTTTATGAGAAGAATAGTAAAAGAGATGACTTCTTCTATGCCTGGGGGTTAATATTTGTTCTTGTTGGCTCATTTGAGAATAGCAGAGGTTGAGTTGGAGAAATTAAGACACAAAGGCTGGAGTTTCCCCTTGCCAGTATTCATTATGAATAGGAGCTTGAAGATAGGCTCAATTGCTGAATATTTAGGGGCCCTAATACATTCACAAGTCATGGGTCCAAACAGCAGTATTTGCTGGTTTTATCTAAATGCCAGTCTGCATCAAGTGCTGGCCCCTCCCCCTTGCCTCTTCTCTTCTTTTTCATTAGGATGATAGAATTCTTTCTCTAATAGGTTTCCATATTTCAAGTGTTATTTATTTAGAATAGTTTAATATAAAATGTCAGTGAGTTTACAGACCTTCCCGAAGAATGGGAATGTTAGGATACTCAAACCACATGCTGTCAAAAACTATTTTAAGTTCTCTGTTTCATCAAGTAAATGCAGTTAGTTAAATTGAATTTGGAAGATTCTCTCCACTTTGTGATGAACAGAGAGTGATTATCATACCTGTGATACTCCTGACTTCCACATTCTACAAGTAAAGTAGTCATACTGATCTTGAAGTTTATTAGAGCTTTAAGCTGTCAGGTTATTACTGTCAGTTTCAAGAAAAGAAAAAGTTACTGATGTAAAATTAATTTATTGAATGGAATTGTTTTGCCCTCAGGGAATAACATCACCATTTAATTTAATTTCCCCATCATATTGTCTCATTTGCAAAGGAAAAAATAACTTTTCTTTTTAACAGAATAAAGTGCATTGTACTGAATTGTGTACTTCATCTTTACAGGTTTCACTTGCTCTAGATCATCAGCTGTCATAACAACATGATATACTGCGCAGTAATTCTTGCTTGCTAAATTTGGGAAAACAGTACTGATTTAGCTATTTGCTTATAAGAAAGTGTTAGAAAGATTGAAAATATAAATTTTTTTGTGGTTTTATTTTTCAATATGAAGCACATTTATTATGGAGTGGCTCATACAAAATATGTTTTAAAATATATTTTAAAACAAATGAAAACCTTGAAACCACACATATCCTGCTTGCTAGTGGTACTCTCAGTGTTTGCCCACTGATACAGCTGTGCCCCTCCACTGGAGTTCAGCACACAGGTGTACATGTCCTGGGATGTGGTATCAGAAGGAAGTGGAGACCAAGGCCAAAGAAAGTGCTCAGGATTTCATTCACCTTTCAGAGAGAAGCCTGCAGAGGCACCACAGGCAAAGGTGGACCTGGGGCAGACTACTCTGCTAATCAAAGAAACATAAAGACTCTTTTTGAGTCCTGTTCTCTGAGGTTATTTCTTTGCCACCAGCAATTAAGTATCACACTGGAAAGTTCTCTTGTGTATATAGGCCTAGGAAAATAAGTCTTGCTAGTAGCAATGGCAAGTCCTCAAAGGCTTTACCCCTTCATTTGTGTCTATTCTATTTAAGCAGTTTAGTCTCTTAATCTTTACTCCCCCATTCTCAAAATGAGACCTAATGGAAAAATCAATATTCATTCAATAAACACTTATTGATAACTTATTATGACGGATGCATAACACCTAACACTATAAGTTCAATTTCTAACTTCATGGTGTTTGCAGTCATATCAGGAGGACAATACGATCACATTAAGAACATTGCTTTAAGCCAAATGTGATGGTACATGCCTGTAATCATAGCTCTTAGAAGATCAAAGCAAGAGGATCATGAGTACCAAGCAAAGTTTGGGTAACATAGCAAGATCCTGCCTCAAAAAGAAAAGGGAGAGGGGCAGAAGAGGAAGAGAGAGGACAGGAGAGGAGAGGAGAAGAGAGAAGAGGAGAGAAGAGAGGTGCTACAATGCTACAAAAGAGAGCAGACGCCTTAGTAATATGGCAATATATATCCACAAGTACAGCTGTATAGCTTGATAAGATATTGTGTACTTTCATACAGATCAGGAATGCTGTCCTAAACTCCACTTGTAATCCTCCCAATCCCAGTCACCTTTCCTGTCAGGAAAGACTTTCATTTTCTACACACGTTTTTAGGCAAGGGAAGAATTAAAAACCCACACAGCTAAGTACCATCAAGGACCTTGTCCCAGTAAAGAAATCTATTCTCAATGATAAGATCCTAAATTAATACAGTCTTTAAATATTTTAGATAATAATCTCTACTAAAAAATGCTATCAGAGCAAGGCATTGTTGCACACTTGTAGCCCTACCTGCTTGGGGAACTAAGAGGGAAGGATGACTTGAGTCCACAAGTTCAAGACCAGTGTGAGCAATATAGTGGCATCCTCTCTCCAAAAAATTATTAAAGATTTAATAGCTTGGACCACATGAAACTCCCCTCTCTGCAATTTAAAAACAGTTACGCATCAGCAATCTCATATTGATCACTCTGTGCAAACCAGATGTCATAGACATTCTCAGAAGAGAGTGACTACATCTTATTATACAAAGAAGGCATCTTAATTCTCTAACTTGATGGTCCTCAACTTTTAGTGGGCATGAAGTAACCCAGAAAGACTTGATGTGACATCTCTTGTGTGGAAGGGGGCTGAGAATTTTCATTTTCACAAAGTTTCTAAACATTGCTGCTACTAATCCTGGAATTGTCCTTCAAGAACACAAAGAACTTTGTTCTTTCGCTTCTTAATGGGAAAAAGTGTTATTATTTATATTATATAGGTTTTACAAACCAATAAGCAAAAGATGAACCACTAATCTAACAAATTATAAAGACATTAAACCAGAAAAAAATCACAAAAGGAAAATTAAAATGAGCAATTTACACAAAAAAGTCAAAATTACTAGTGATTAAAGACATGTAATTTAAAGAAACAACTACTTCTTTTGAATACTCAAATGCCAAGAAGTGAAACTATCAATACGCAACCCTAAGGAAGGAGAGAGAAATGGATGCTCTCATATGTTGCTAGTGGAATTATAAATTGCTAAAACCTTTCTGAAGGGTAATTTGGCAACATGCATCAAAAATCTCTAAAACACTTGTGCTTTTTGCTCATAGTTTTACTTTTCAAAAATAGTGCCAAAGATCTCATAAGAACTGTACACTAAGATTTTTATGAGAGCATTCATTAAAGCACTATATATAATACAAATTAGGGTAACCAACATAAACAGCCAACACATATGGTATATAGGATGAAATATTGTAAACCATTATGATAAATCTATTAAAGATTATTTTAGAGTGGAAGAAGTGGGTAAAGTTAGGGAGAGCACTATCGATTAGAAAAACTCTGTTGTTTTTTTTTTCTGTACTGGGGATTGAACTCGGGTCCTTGCGCTTGTGCAGCAGGCGGCAAAAACCACTGAGCTAAATCCCCGGCCCAAAAAAACCTTGTTTTATGCATAGCTATATACAGACTCTACACATTTGCGGTACATGTGTCACATAGAGGTAAGAAAAAAATAATGGAAGGGATTGGGACCTAGAATGTTAACCACAGTTACCTCTGGTCAATGGGAATATAGGCCATTTTCTTTCTTTTATACTTTTTCATTTTCCAAATTTTTTGATAAATTTTATGAAGAAAAGTAAACTAGTTCCAAGACTCCATAGGTTTATTGTTGTTGAGAGAGTAAACTGATAAAATTTTCTGGCAAAAATGTTCTACTCTTTGACCTAGTAATTGTACTCCAAAGGACATAAGTTACAAAAATAGTCAAATGTACATACCGAGTTTCATTTATTGGGAATGCTCATTGAAGCAATATTTATAATAAAATTTGTAACCTCACTAAATGATTTCAAAGAATGGTTAAATGAATTGTGATTTATCCATACCATAGAATTCTAAGCAGCCATTTAAAGAACATGTTGTTGAAGATTAATGACCTGGAGAAATGGTCATTGTCCAATGTGAGGTGAAAAAAAAGCAAAATCAAAAATTATGTACAATATAATCCCACTTTTAAAAAATACTCATAAATTTGCAAAGAAAATGACTGGTAAGAATGCATCCACATTAATAGTGTTTAACTTATTATAGATTTTTTTCCTTAAATTCTTTTATTGGTACATTTTAGTTATACAATACAGTTACATTTATCATTGGGTACTTGTACCTGTACATGATGTATCTTGGTTCTTATTTTTTCCCTAGTCCCTGTCCTCCCTTCACCCCCTCCACCCTTCTCTATTTACAAAGACTTTGTTTCCATTTTTTTTTCCTTTTCTTAAAATTGTTCCTTTCCCTTCTTGCCTTTCCCCTTCCCCTCCCACTTCCCCTATCCCTTGGGACCTTTTCTTCCTATTTCAAAGTACCAATTATTCATTTTAATCATTTTAATCCTTATTTACACTTTCAGATTCACACACCAGAGAAACTATTGGGTATTTACACATGTGTGTCCTATTTATTTCCCTTAAGAGTATGGCCTCAATATGCATCCATTTAGCTATGAATGTCTCTAGTTTGTAGTTCTTTATAGCTGAGTGGTTTTTATTTTCTTATACATATTTTTATCAGTTATCTTAAATTTTCAAATTCATTCATAATATTTTTAAAATTTAAAGAAATATGAGCTAAAAATTAGACTGTAAGAATTTGCAATAGCAAAACTCCTTTTCTAAGGTCATAATCTTTCTCATGGTCATGTAGGCTGTCATTTTTATCTACCATTTAAAGATAAAATGTGAATAAAAAGAAACATTTCACTGGAAAGCAAAACAAGCAATAGCTTAAATGTTTAAAAACAAGGAGCTCTTGTTTATTGGGTTGAACAGTAATAACCCAAGCATCACATTCCCATGATAGAGTCCCTTTGCCTAAATATCCCCTGGAGATTTTGAAAGTGGGGTTCTTGAGGGTTTCACTATTTTTTAACTAGAAACCCAGAGACATAAAGCCCTTAAACTAATATAAAAGATTTGCACCTTAGTTACAAACCTGAACACATTTCTACACACAGCTATTCTGCAAAGCAGCAACTGATACACACTAACAGGAGTTCAGATGCTAGCAATAGGAGAAATACAGAAGGTGGTAATGACCCGTTTCCGGGTAATCAGCCCATGCGTAAAGAACCCTGCATCCCTATCTCTCCCTGTATTCCCAAAATTGACATGAACCCAGGACCCTCCCTCTGGTAAACTCAAGCTGAGCCAATCAGATTTTTCTCTCTCCCTGGACATAATATGGTTAAAAGTAGGCTGTGGAATGGAATGGCCTGAAGGGAACCATATAAAATGCTATTACTGAATTCCTTGGAACTGTTCTCATTTTTTATCTACCCTCCTCTTGGTTAGTTAACTCTTTCTTAAGTTCTGTATGTGACCATATAGTAGTGTCTTTCCCAAGACACACTAAATATGATATATTTTCTAAATAAATGTAGCCTCAAAACATGTAACTCTCCCTGCAACTAGGTATTACCCCTCACCCCTCTTATATGGAAACTTTGGTGATAATATTCTTGTTGAGCTTAAGTTTCTCCTGCTATCAATCAAGAGTCAGGAGACATGTCCCATGGGAGTTAATGACCTGATTCCAAGGAGAACTAAGAAAAATGTTCTTACTGGAGTATAAGTACTTTACATGAACTTCAAGAGTATCATACTAACATATTCAATGGAAGAAGAAAGAACATCTCACAAAAGAAAATCACTAAAGGTGCATTTTGCCTAATGGTCATGTTCTTCTCTATTTTGCTTATGTCACTATGAAGGAAATAGCAACATTTGCCT